GTCAAAGCCATGTTGTCGTGTGAGACCTGGAGCCCCCAGGAGAAATGACCTTGGTGTTATAAGCTCATTTCACAGATGGGCAAACTGAGACCCAGAGCATGCAGGAACTCATGTTTAGAGAGCCAAGCTGCAAACCTCTTCCAGTCCCAGGGTGGCCATGGGGCTGAGGGAGGCAGGATAGAGGGAGCAGTGGGGGTCGGGGAGATGCCAGCAGAGGCCCCTGAAGCCTCCGTCCCACGCTGCCCCTGCCATGGTGGCGGCCTCCATGGTGACCTAGGTTGTGTTTTCCTGGCAGAGACCCCATCATCGGGGACTATTACAACTGGGGGCAGTTCCGGAAGCCTCCAGAAGGTGAGAAGAGGGTAAGGTGGGGTCATGGGCCAAAGAGCAGCAGGAGCTGAGCCTTAGAAACCACAGTCTGGAGACAGAAAAGTGCCAGGGTGGGCGTGGAGGGGGCAGGTGGGCCTCCAGGCTGGGCTCGGCAGGAGCTGCGTGGGTAGACAGAGGAGAGGCTGATGTGGAGAAGGATGGGCAGTCAGGCGGTGGAGGTGGGAGGCTGGCTGGACAGGATGGGCAAGGGGAGTGGGCGACAACAGAGTGGCAGGCAGGATGCTGGGCAGTGGCCACCCAGGCCCCCATGGAGTACACAGGAGACCTCAGAGGAGGGCCCAGGACAGGGGTGGCCATGTTGGAGGACTCAGAGCCCAGCACGCTTGGGGGACGTAGGACTAGAGCCTTAACACCTCATCTCTACACAAAGAGAACCTGAGGCCCAAGGGTGGGGTTTCTGCTGAGGGGCTCACTGGTCTGGGGCTTGAACCCAGCCCCCAGGTCTCAGCTCTTCCCTCCTGGGTCAAAGGCTGGGGCTCTGGGGAGGGGAGGGGGCATAAAGGCATGCTGAGTACTGTTCTCCTACTAGGGTGACAGGTCCCCAAGCTGGGCCCCTGGAGAGCAAGCTTCTGAGGCTCCCCAGAGGGAGGGGGTCTGAGGCTGGGCTGTTTCCTAACACTCCTGCCCCACCCAGCCCCCCAGAACCCAGAGACCAAAGAGCCACCGAGGTGCCACTTCTGGTTGACCATCATGGAGGGTCTGGACTACAGCTCCTCCCTCATGGTCCAGCCTGGTGCCCAGCAGCCTGGGAAGACAGCAGGGGCCAGGTGGGGGCTGCTGGAAGCTGCCCCAGGGGTGTGCCAGGGACGAGGGCAGGTCACCTGAGGTGAGGTGAGGCTGGCTCAGCTTTGGGTCCTCTCTGACAGATGAGGATGACACTGGTTCCTACGAGAACGTTCTCATCTGCAAGCCGGGGAGCCCAGAGCCAGGTGAGGCCATTCGGGGGGTGGGGGGCGTTACCTCTGAGGGCCACTGGGAGAGATGACATCCCCTGTCCAAAGGCATCTCTCCTTGAAGCCTGAAGGCTCAGCTGTGTCCTGGTGCCTTTGGGTGGAACATGGTCCCTAAGTGTCCTGCGGTGGCACCCACAGCTCCTGGTGACCGAGGGGCTTCTGCCCTCAGAGCTGCCCAGCACAAGGACAGACCTGGTGGAGAGGCCCTGACGCACCACCCTGGTCACTCCTCGGCCACCTCCTGTGCTCGCCCAAACACAGGTGACGAGAGCGTGGAAGACTACCAGAACTCGGCATCCATCCAGCAGTGGAAGGAGTCCAAGAGGGTTATGGGTACGTGGCAGGCGTGGAGGGCATCCGGGGAGCTGGTCTGGGGAGGGCCAGGCTGGCAGGGGTCCAGTCCCAGTATTGCTTCTTAGCCGGCCGGTCTGTGGCGTTTGCGGCTGGGACAGAGGAGGGTCAGTGTCATCTGTCCACCCACCTCCCTGTCATCTGCAGGGCTCACCCTGAGTGACACTGTGCCTTCCCTGGCTGGCAGCCCTGACGAGGACAGTGAGCCGGACTACGTGAACGGGGATGTGGTGACCAAGGATGGCTAGAGGAAGGTACAGTCCCTGGGGTGGCCTCTCTGTGGCCCCAGCAGAGCTTGGCTGCGGGCTGGGTACCCCAGAGGATCAAGGTGAGAAGGGCTATTCAGAGGGGTTGTGAGGACCACGCCCCTCGGCTCCCCTGCCATTGCAGGACTGGGGTGTCTGCACAAGCCAGCCTGGCCGGGCCCCAGGCGCCCTCTCTGTGGTGGCCATGCAGCGGGGGGGAGAAGCGGGGGTGAATGCATTCTGAGGGCAGTGTCAGCGGCACTTCCTGTGGCCTCCAGTGCGGGGAGGCCTACGCTTTTGTTGAGAACCAGGCGGCGTGATGGTGGCTCAGGACTTGCCAAGCCGGCTCTGGAGCAGAGGGAACGAAACCTTAACGGAGACAACCCATCTCCTTTTAACAAACCCTTTCCTTTACTGAAGGAGCCAAGGCACAGAGCCAACTGGCGGAGCCTGGAGAACCGTTGCCGTCCCTCAAGGACCCCTTTTCTGGAGCTGCTGTGTTTGGCACCCTGTCTACTGGAAGGAGCACCTGCCTGTCCCCAGGACCATCTGGCCGTGAGCAGTGGCCTGGACAGCGGTGCTTGGGAATGGATAGTCCCTCGGGGGCTGCAGAGCCCTCCCTGACCAGGGCTTCCATGGGGTGAGGGGGAGCCTGGTTCCCACAGCGACCCGAGGCCAGGATTCCCTCGTCTAAAATGTCCACAACACTGCCATTTGTCCTGTTTTGCTTCAGACTTGGATCCTCAACTGCTTGTTAATGCCAGCTGCTGGCATCTCTTCATGATGTAAACTTGTAAAGTTATTTATGTAGATGGAGCCATATTTAATACTAACTTCAGGGTGGCTTTGTCTGCTTCTCTTACAAAGCATTACTTGGACTTCGTTTCAGGAGCCCTGTCTCTCCTTTGCCCCTTAGTGGGGCCCTCTCATGACTTGGGGCCTGAGGTCACTCAGGAAACTGTACTCTCATCTTTGGTAGCAACTGACCCTTCGATGGAAGAAATGTTTCTACGAACAAAATGTACACCCCCACCCTGGGCTCAGAGAGTGGGGAAGGCCCCCCGGGGCCAGGCGGGGGGTGTCCTCTGCTCACGTGCCTAGTCTAGATCAGAAGGGTCAGTCAGGAGAAGAAAGTGCCTGAACCAATCCTGCCAATAAACCATTTAAGCCTGAGAGCAGCTGTTCCCGTGTCCACGGTCTGAGGAGTGAATGAGCCTGCAGGGAGGATGGCGCGGAGCAGGACGCTAGCAGAGCCTGGCTTCCCCTTGCCTCCAGCTCTAAGCTAGGCCTAGGAGTTAAAAGGTCAAGAGAACAGCAAGCGTTCCTATCCAGCTGTCCCCCAGCACAAGGGCGGGAGGCCACAGCTCTGGAAGTCCACCGGAAGAGGTGCCGGCACGTCACACCTTTGTCACGTCTTTGTGGGTGAGCCTACCTCCCTCCTCCTGGGGACATCGTTTCAGAGTAATACCCAGCATTTGCTTCAAAACAACCTTAGAGTGAGGCTGGGGAGGGAAGTGGGGCTAGGGTAGGGAGTGAGGCTGGGGTGGGAAGTGGGTCTGGGGTGGGGAGAAATACAGAGGAAGCAAGATTGGTCACCTGCTGAGAGCTTCAGAATGTGTTTGATGAGTCTTTAAATGTCCAGAGGTAAAATGCTCACCTTTTATGCAAGACACCTGGGTTGCAGGTCAGTGTACCTCATGCATGGCCTATGATACTGTTTATCCCACAAGAGAAAAAAAGAAAAACAGGAACAGAAAAAGGGGGACGACCAAAAAATAATCCCCAGGAGTTAGAGGGTGTTCAACTGTCCATGGAGGCCTGTGTGGTGCGATGCTGCTGAGCAGGGGTCAGAGGAGAGTCTAGATTAACAGAGACTAGGCAGAAAGGCCTGGCAAGCTCCTCTGAAAATGAGCCCATGAACCGTCCTTTGGATTACCATGGATGAGCGGGATGGGGTGGGACCAGGTAGGGTTTCAGCCCCTTGTGTGAGGGACACCGTGAGCTGGGCTGACAGGATGAGAGCTGAAAACTTTCATTTACAGTAGCCATTTCTCATCACTCCAAGATAGAGAATGCTGCCGAGGAAAGCAGTTGTACTAATCAGGATAAAATGCTAGAGCAGTTAATGCCCACTGCTGCACCGCAGGGCAGGGCGGTGGCTGGACTGTCCCTGAGAGATCACCTGCAGATCAGCAAACACTTTTCCAAGCAGCTTTCAGAAGGACTTGTCGCCCTGGGCTGTACAGTCAACACCAAACTGCCCCCACCACAGGAATCGGTCCCTCAGTGTTCCAGAAAAATCAAAGATTAAGCCAGTGTTGTCTACTATCTAAATCACTGTTTCTACTTGTCAGAAAATGTGACAGAGAAATGACCTGGAGAAATGAAAAAGCAACAGATAAATTCACGTAGAGAGGCTGAAACCAGGTTGCTCCTTGGAGACAAGAATTTTGAAACTCCCATCTCACACACTTTGGGCCTGTTGCCAGGAGGGACCTGTGCTTGGAGAAGGACATCATGCTTGAAGGGTAGAAGGTCAGTCAGTGCAGGAGGATCCTGGATGAGATGGATTGACAGTGACTGTGGTAATGGGGTGAGGTGTGTCAGAGACAGCGAAGTTGGCTCAGGAATGGGCGAAGTTCAGAGCCGTTGTTCATAGGGCCACTATGAGTTGTTGACCCAATGGCACATAACAACTTATCAAAAGCTGGGGCACACGCAGAGACAGGAAGTGGTTTCCTGGGGACCTTGTGCTGTCACCTAATGACAGGTCCAGACACTAAAGAGTTTGCAAGCAGAGCAGGAGGAGAAAAACTCTCAAGTTGTCCAGGACGTCAAGGTTTATTATACAGAACTAGTAGAGAGATCATGGGCTGTGCCTGCTTCTCTGGGGACCTTGTGTCACACACCGAGTCTGAGGCTGAACCTGGAGCCCTGAGGGCATGTGGCACGCCTGAAGCTACGGTCTTTCACTTAGAGGCGACACCAGCACTGACCCACTGCACAGTCTCCAAGCCGGGAAGCTGTGATGTGTGTCTCTCTGGAATAGGGACACGGGACCCTCCACCCTAACTGGCCACTGGGGCCATCGTCTTCTGACATAGCCTGGCCAGCAGCCCTGCCATCTGCAGCAGGGAGTTGACACCTTCTGCAATTTTCATATGAGTATATCCAATTTCCTGAAAACAAAACAGATTTAAATTGGGTGAGTGAAGAAAGAGTTATTCTTCCAACAGATCCAGTTGTTCATTTGGAATAAATGGGCTGTTTGTTGTGTACATTCTAAATACATAAATTAATTTGAAAGGAAAAAAGCCCCTGAATCCATGAACTCAAACTCTAGTAGGAAAATGAACTCTTAGATGTACTGGAATTATTTTTTTTTTTTTAATTTTTTTTTATGGTTTTTGTGTGTGTGTGTGTGTACCGTCAAATCAGATCTGACTGGTATAGGAGGAGATTGTCCCTCCTTCTCCAGCACAACATCTGGTGGGTTCGAACCACGCACCTCTGGGATTGCAGTACTGGAATTATTTTTTGCATGTCCCAAAAGGATGCTGGCATTTTATGATGACAAGAGGAGAAACTCCTTAACCTAGGACCTGGCTCCAGAAGATTCCTGGGGAGCCCGAGGTGGTGTGCTGGGCTTAAGTCTGTATGTCACTCTAGGGTGAGGAACGAGTCTCAGAAAGGTCAGAAATGACACAAACTTGTATCTATCAATAAACATTGTGATACTTGAAACAAAAAAAAAAAAAAAGAAATGACACAAGGGCAGGACTACCTCTCAGACCCAAGCCATGACTGGCTACGTGGGATCAGAAACAGTGTCCTTTTTTGCTGGACTTGGGTCACTCAACTGAATGTTGACCGGTAAGCACAATGTGTCCATAGGGTAAATTTGATATGTGAGTTATATTTTGAGAGTTGTTACAAAGTGAGGGAGCTCTGGTGGCAAGAAGCTGCATTGCAATCCCAGAGGTGCCCGGTTTGAATCCACCAGATGCTCTGCTGAAGAAGGAGGGGCTATCTCCTCCTGTACCAGTCAGATCCAATTTGACAGCACACACACAAAATAATAAAAAATTGAAAAACAAAAACAAAAACCAAATAACAAAGCAATATAGATGGAGAAGGACAAGGTAAGAACATTCCCTCACATTTCCGACCTGGTTGAGGAATTAGCGTATTTTGAATAGCAAAAACCAAAATTAAAACACTAGGGGGCGGGGGCGTGCACGCGGTCAGGGGAGAATAGAACAGGTAAGGGAGCTCTGGTGACCTAGTGGCAAAGAAGCTGCACTGCAATCCCGAAGTTACATGGTTCAAAACCACCAGATGCTCTGCTGGAGGAGGAGGGGCAGTCTCCTGTGCCACTCGGATGTGATTCAATGGTACAAAACAAGAAAAGGGAAAAAAAAAATAGAACAGGTCTGGCAAGAGCCGTGGGACACTATCAAATAACATAAGTCGAATTAAAATCCCAGAGACAGAAAGAAAATGGGAGAGAAGAAATATTTGAAAAAAAAAAAAAGATGGTTGGATACTTGAAGAAAAAGGATCAGATTACAGATTCAAGACTTTCAGAATTATCACATTAGACACAGCTTTCAACAAAAAGGTGTGTAAAGAAAACCCTTCTGAGGAAGACAAGAAATACACAGAAATGAGCCGAGACAAAGCCCGGCCTGAGACGCTCCAGGAACTCCAGGTGATGCGATCAAAGAACCCGAGGGAGCAACTGCACGGTCCTCACAAGGACAGGGAGGAGCCGTGCTGCCTCGGGAGAAAGACGGGGCCCCCTGACAGCCTGGGGACAGACGATGGAGGCTCAGCTACGACAGAGGCTCTGCTACAGGTGCTTCGACGTGATGGCCAGGAGGTCGAGCTCCGTAAAGAAAGGTGAAAGCATAAAAAGGAATCAAACAAATTCTAGAGCCACAAAGTGCGATGGAAATGAAACATCCACCAGAGAAGTCGGAGAGCAGATGTGAGCAGTCAGGAAAGGTGGAAAGAACTCCCAGGTCAAGGGACAGAACAGATACCCACGGTGAGGCCCACGGTGTGGTAAAGCACACAGTGCCGTTTCACTCAGCTGTGAGGAGGCGTGGAGTTGAGTCTACAGCACAAACTCGGAAGACATTATGCTGCGTGAAGTAAATCACACCACAGAAAGAGAAACCATGTGTGATCCCCATTCTACACAGTATCTGCAACAGGTCAATGTAGACACTTCAAAGCTTTTGAGTGGTTACGAGAGATAAGGGAAAGGAGAAGTCCCTGGTCAGGGAGCCCTGTGTTACGGAGACGACAAGGTGTGGGAACAGGCAGTGACGATGGCACACTTAACGCCACGGAACTGTACACGTAAAAAGAGATGCCCTGCTTCTTCTGTCCTTTTCTGCTGAGAGCATGCTGTAAGGTATGACCTCACCCTTTCTCGTAGCTTCCAGGGCTCCTTCCTCTCCTCTCCCTTTAACTCTTCGCATGGCCTCGCTTTCATTAGCTGTAATTCTGTCTTATCGCCTTAATAAACCTTTCACACACACACACACACCCTCAACAAAACACAAAAGCCAAACCCAAAGATGTCCACAAAGGGGCACAGTAAATATTCTGGGATGGCAGAACTTTAATGTCTTGACTGTCGAAGTGTTTATACAACAGAGTGTATTTGTCAGCATAAAGCACTGACAAGGAGGAATTTGACTTCAACCAACTATAGCTCACCTAATCTGATTGAAAAATTCCTTTTTTCAAAACCCTTTGAGGACCAGAGATTCTAGAGAAAGGACACTGACCAACAGAGCTGCTTTGCACGAAGGCCGCCCTCCGTCCCAGTGCAGTTGGAGAACACCTCCCAGGGGCAGGGTCTGTGAGCACAGTGCACTGCGCACCCACCTCTGTGAGGAAACAGCTTTCTAGACTCGTGTGGGTGCTTCCAATTGCTTCATACCCAAGTGAAAGCTGGACAATAAATAAGGCAGATTGAAGAAGAAATGAAGAAGAGTCCTGAGGATGTATAACTGGCCAAGGGTCAAGCAAACCTCCTTGAGGAAGAGATGTCGCCGGGCTGCTGCTTACAAGCACAGGTGGTGAGATTTCTTTCCACAGACTCGGGGTTGTTTGTGGGGTGTGTGTGGGTGTGTGCGTGGGTGTGTGCGTGAATCCTTGGAAAAATGGAAGGTCAGTGAAGAAGAGACCGTCAATGCGACGGCCTGACGTGGTGACTACAACAGTGCGTTTACACAGCAGACATTGTGAAGGACGGTACGGAACCAGGCTTTCAATCTGCGGCAGACATGGTCACTACGTCTGAGTTCACTAGGAGGCACCCACCGCCACCGCCACGCGCACGTACTGACCTTAATAAACTCCAGTTTCAAGTACTCTGCCATTTGGAAGGTTTTACACACTCGAAAAATGTTGCCGATGATGTCCTCGGGGGAGTAGCCAAGATGCCACAGGTGAGCAAGAATCTAGACCAAAAAAAAAAAGGGCACAGTGAACGCTAAGAAGTCGAGAGTGGAATGAAGGCAAATCCACACGAACCTCGGCCTCCCCCACGGTGACGGGGCCCAGCGGCTACAGACAGATCAACTCACAAACCCATGCGGTTCTGAAAAACCAATAAATCCCAGAGAGCTGCTGGTGGGCCAAATGACACCTCGTTTGCCATGCCTTTTACATCATGAAGGATAATTTGATGTTCCCAACATGCAGAGGTTCCATCGGAAATGTTTTCAGCTATGGTTTAAGATGTGAGAAAGGACCAGGGAAGAACCCGCTGTGATCAGACCAAGCCCCTTAATCGCACCACGGACACCTATGTGCCCTGAAGGCCACTAAACCTAAATGACGGTGGCAGGGACTGCCATGGAGCCGTCCCCTAGAGCAGAGCTTGATCCCCCATCCCCGCCTCTCCTGGGGGACCTGGGGGGGGTGTCAATGTTCCCCAGCAGGACGGGAAGGGAAGCCACCTCCCTCAGAAGATGACTTCACTCCTCAGAAAGGGCTGAACTGGTCTTTCTGCACATCTTGGATTAATGAATTCTCCCTGCAGACTTCACTGGTAAAACAGAAAGTTCTGGCTGTGAATCTCAGGTCTACTACTTTTAAACGCTGTGATTCAGAGTAAAGAGTTTAACCTGTGAGTTACAGGTATCTCATTTATAAAGCGAACCCAACCAGCAGCATTACTTTAAGAATGAAATGTCAGGTCCCAAACACAGGACCAAGCCCCTCACTGCACTTAAGTGGAAGGTTCCTTCCGAGTCAGGGAGAGGGCAAACCTTGTAGGCTTCATCAATGTCAGCATTCACACAGTGCTGAATCATCTCCTTCACCAGCAAGGGGTGGGGCTCATCGCAGACCTGCCCAAACCAAGAAGAGAGGCTGGTCAGGGGCTGGCCGACCCAGGAACATGGGCCGCAGTGGACCGGCTGCTGGCGCAATACATGCCACCGAACCTCTCAAATCACTGTTTCACAGAACTGTCTAGCCAACAGGACTGGACCTGGAAATGCCCTTCTCATTACCAAAGACAGGAGTTCTGGTGGCCCAGTGGTAAGAAGCTGCACTGCCAACCTAAAGGTACACAGTTCAAATCCCCCAGCTGCCTAGCAGAAAGATGGGCAGTCTCCTCCCATGTGACTTACTGCCTCTGAAAATCTACTAGAGGGCCAGCTATGAGTCGATCACGACCAGATGACATGTAAAAACAATCACCAAACACACCAAAAAGGGTGTCTCTTCTTTGTTCCAGATTGGGAGATCAAGAGTTGGACCTCCGACAGCAGCTCCCTCCCAAGCTTTCACGACCTCAGTGGCATCTTCGAGCTCTGACTTTCATGCAGCAAATCGTAATTTCTCCTGTTGACTGGCTCCATCATGTGTGTACCACATTTAGCCTGTCCACTCAGCTGCTGACAGCATTTAGGGTGTTTCTACCTTCTGTACTGTAAACAGCGCTGCAAGGAACAATGGTGTGTCAAGGGCTGGGCCTCTGTTTATCCAAGTCTCTGCGGAGACAGCTGGTGTGGATCTGCTGGGTTATGAGTAGCCCTATTTTTAGTTTTATTGAGGAACTGATACAATGCTTTTTGCAACAGCCATTTGAACGTCCTCTTTGGTGAAATGTCTTTCAAGCCCTTTACCCATTTCTAGGACAGGATTATCTTACTAAGTTGTCAAAGCTTTGTATGTATTTTGGTTATTAGATTCTTGTTGGCTATATGGTTCCCACAGGCACTGTCCTTATGCGTAGCTTATCTTTCCACTTTTTTTTTCTCCTTGTTGTGTACCGCCCAGTCAGGTCCGACTGGCACAGGAGGAGATTGCCCCTCCTTCTCCAGCAGATCATCTGGTGGATTCGAACCTCTAACTTTCAGGATTGCAGTGTAACTTCTTGGCACTAGGCCACCAGACCTCCCTTCTCTTTTCACTTTTTTTTGTAAAGTCTTTTGATGAACAAACTTTATAAGGATCCATTCATTGGGTTTTTTTGTTGTTTGTACTTTTCACATTATATTTCAGAATCCACTGATAGAAGTTGGGCTAACACTTGGGCCCATTTCCTCACCTACCAGGTGCTGTCCCTGAATTATGCAAGCAAAAATAATGTTTTAAAGGCAAAAGTTTACACTTACTAATTTTTAAAATTATGTCTGTAGTTTTTTTAAAATTTATTATAAATTTCAATGAAAATGTACAGAGACTTTGGAGTTCCACTCATTCATTGTTGCACTTTTCTCGCCTCCCAACCCTCCCTGCTACCCTTTTGGAAAAGTAAAAGAAAAATTCTTTTATTGTTTTATAATCAATCCCCCCAGGTCCACTCCACTATACAGCCTTCACTCTGGACTCCTGTCATGACAAAAATACCCAATAATTTTCCCTCTTAAACAGTTTTCTCCCTCATATGTTTCAATGCGGTATACATTATTGAACCCATCCTTCTCAGTCTCCCCCCAACCCCGAGGTCAGTCCTGCTTTACAACAGTGGCACCATGCAGTATTTGTCCTTTTGTGACTATGATATTTCACTCAGCA